TCTCTCTCTCTCTCTCTCTCTCTCTCTCTCTCTCTCTCATCGGTTACTAGCAGATCATTCTCTGACTACTTGTATGAGGGTCCAAACACAGGAAGCATACTATCTCCATAGATCTTCAACTTTGTAAGTGGCCCATTGAGACAGATGTACCTCTAGAAAGATAGTCTTGTAATGTATTGTAAACAGGAGTGACAATAATGTTCAACTTCAGCCCTCATGCAAGGCCAATAGAAATAATCTCTTACTAACTTAAAAGTTCTCTCTGGTCCCAAATCACCATGGTCATTATGTAAATCATCGAGCACTGTCTCTCTATGCTTTTCAGTTGGAAACAATTGCCATTTATCTTCAGAACTATCTTAGGGGACACCACATTGTATAGTTGCAATTGATCCCATTCTTTATGCAACAGTTGGGCTTCCTTCAGTAAATCGGTCAGCAAAAATGTCAGCTGGTCACTCTTTAGGGCCTTCATAGTCAAGTCGTACAAGGAGGTCTTCAGCTTGATCTTTCCTCAAATCTTTCTTTATAAGAACAGGTAGACCTCCATCTCTCACTTGTATTGGATTGCAATATAGCTTGGGGGCCTATATGGCAATGACCCAAATAGCTTCTGCCCCTATTGCTCCTCTAGTTCAATGTTCAACTGCTTGGCACAGGGCTTGTATAACCTCTGGTGTCAATTATTCATCAGCAGTGGCTTTAGAGTTGTAAGTCCTTCTTGATAGGTTGTCTGAATCTCTTTTTTCCATTCCTGGTCAATGCTTTAAACTGAAGTGGAATCTAAATGTCACAGCCAACCATTGATGTCCTCTGGCATCAAGTTTTGGTTATTAGGTTATTAGGTCCTTAGGTTATTAATTTGGAGCTTTACCAACAATAGTATTTCCAAAGTTCATATGTCTCTGTTGTAAATATCTTTGCAACATCTATTGTTGAATAATCCTTGACAACACAGCATTTTATTTAACCAAATGATATTCATAAAAATAATTTGTAAATAATTAGATAAATAATTAATGAAATACAATGTCTCTACTAATTATTTTAAATGTCATTTGAGATTAGATGGGGCAATCATCTTTTTTTTTCTTACAGATTACCTTCCAAGTGCAAATTACAGCAACATCGTGCATTAAAAATCAGACTTTTACTCTGCAGCCCCTTGGTTTCACAGACTTGACCACTGTACATATATACAGTCGGTGCAACTGTGAATGTGACGAGGAGTTACCAAATGAATCTGATTGCAATGGACAGGGGAATATAAACTGTGGGATTTGCAGGTAATCTAACTATTTTAGCAACATTGAAACAGCATGGGGGTCCACAATTGAACCCCCCAATACTTAATCAGGCTCCCCAATACTTAATCAGGCTACCTGTACTTACGTTCAAGTGAATGCAAGTATACCCCCTGATCAGATCTCCCTGTGTTCATGTTTCAGTCAGCAACAGAAATGTTGGGCTACCTGTACTTTGCCATTACAACATAAGTCAAATATTTGCTGTTAGGTAGTCCTCAGGTTATGACAGCGATCGAGCACCAGATTGGTCTAATGTTTAAGGCACAGGTTAGAAAGCAGAAACCATACATTCAAGTCCGCTCTAGCCATGAAAACCAGACAGGTGACATTGGTCTCTTAGCCACATCATCTGACAGGGTTATTGTTGTGTGGAGGAAGGTGTGTTTGATATGTCTTTAGAATTTCTGTGTTAACCAAAGCAGTCACATAGTGCAACATCATATTGCTGTATTGCTTAGTGACAGCAGTCTCAATAGGTGCAGTTGCCATTGTAATTCCAGGACTATTTAGGTCATTAAGCATGAAGAGGTGGGAATTCTGGGCAAGGAGTACAGGGTGATGCACAGATGTCATGAGGCAGTGTGCAGATACTGCTGGCAGTTGATATACACGGTGTGTGCTGGCAGGTGTGTAAGGGAGTGTGTGCTATGGATTATGGGGTCCCTGGAGCTATGTGAGCTTGATTGTTCTCTTGCAGACATTTCATTACCAAACTAGGCAACATCATCAGTGCGAGAAGGTAGTGGAAATTGCTCTCATTTGAAATATTAGTGGCTAACCCTATCAGTGTTGGTGGGAATGGTCTTGGTGGTTCCTTGATTAGGCTGTTATTTACCGTTAGCTTAGTGTTTGACTGAGTTGGTGGTGCCTTGATTGAGATATTATTTATTTCTTGATTGTTGGTTTAGTATTAATCTTGGTAATAATCCCTGCTCATCTGGCTTGCTGGTGATGAGGTGTTTGGGTCTTTTTGGCTTTTTGATTGTCTCTTTTGAATTTGTATGTATATGCTGTTTGTGTCTATGTATTATTGATATCTGATTTGTCATTGTCAGGGTTCCCGGAATTCTCTAGCATTTTTTGACTTGGCTTGGTCTAGGATATTCAGTTTCCCAATTGAAACCATGGTTAAGTCTGTCTATGTGTTGTAAAAAAAGAAGGAGTTTTCATCATGTCTTCTGAATGTTAGTTGGTGTTCATAGATGTATCTGTTAGTCTTCTGCCTATTCAGTAATGAATTCAATTTGCAGTTTAGTTTTCCTTTTTCTAGCATTTCTCCAGGAAGTAACCTTCATGGGGTTTCTTGGCCCTTCTCTGTGTTCTGGTGTCATGTTCTATTCTAATTGTTCCTTGAGGTTTTGCATACAGTGTGCTGATATTTGTTTAGTCTGAGGTGGGCAACCATGATCATGAGCTATATAATTTTCTGCTTACTTTCTTGGGCTATTTTCCATCCAGCTGTAAAGTTTATTAGAGATTTGTATTTCACCCTGGTGGCCAGGGCATGTACCTGGAACCATGAACACCATTAGTTTAGTTTAGTTTAGTTTAGTTTAGTTTAGTTTAGTTTAGTTTAGTTTAGTTTAGTTTAGTTTAGTTTAGTTTAGTTTAGTTTA